TGAATGTATTTTGTTTGTTTGTTTGTTTGTTTGTTTGTTTGTTATGTATGGTATCTTGGGCCAGCTTACGCACACCAGACTAAGTCCCTACAACCTATAACGATGCTGGTTTTGACCCGACCTTTGTTGTAATCTGGATACGGGTTTCTTGGTTTCGTACTGTTGAATATGTCTTACTTATCTTCTTCTCCCTTAAACTTGGCCTTGGGATTGTTTTGGTTGTGTTTGGAACATGTTGGTACTTTGATTTCCAAACTCTTGTTGCCTACAATTTTGCTCTTTCACTCAAGCGGCACTTTTTTGCACTTAAGCGGGCTTTGCAAACTCTCATTACTTTTGTAGGTCTGCAAAACTACTGGGAGAGTGTATTTTAGCTCGAGTGGCGTTTCCTACGCTTGAGCAGGTGTGCACTCAAGCGGCAATTCTTGAGCTTGAGCGATGTTCTTCTGTCTGCAAAACTACTGAATGTATGTATTCTACGCTCGAGCGGTCATTTCTTGCGCTCGAGCGGAACAACTTATTGTGTCTAACGCTCGAGCATCAACTCTTGCACTCGAGCAGACTGTGCGTATATTAGTTTACAACAGCCTCATTTTTCTTCACCTTTTCATTTCTTTTTCCCTCAAAACCCTAGATTGGGACTGTCTCTCTCTAAAACTCACATTCTCTCTATATTTTCACTTAGATCTAGTGATGTTTTTACCTGTGTGCCTTTGTTGAAAAGGTAGTGCGTCTCAAGAGCTCTCTTTTGGTCTGATTAAAGCTTGGTTTCGGTGTCTTTGAAGTTCTCCATCTCACCATTTGGTCTTCTAAGCTTGAGGTAGGGACTCTCTACACTCTCTATGAGTTTTAACTTGGCTATTTCTTGATGTGTGAGAAACATTGGGTTTTGAGGTGATTTTAACAAACCTAGGGTTTGGGGTTTAAATTCAAAAGAGGGGTTTTAAAAAGGATGACTTGGAAATGATCATGGGAATAAATACGAACTTGTGTTTTGTTAAAATAGATGATTTGGTGGTTGGGTTGAGATTTGGGAGGGAACGGGGTTTTGTCCTAAAATGTTCAAGTAATTATTTTGCATAAATAATGAAATTGAAAATGGGAATATGAAATTAGATGAATGTTGATATAAGTGGTGAAGTTGGATGTGTACCATCTCCCACCTATGGAAATTTAAAAAATTTATTTGTTGAAGGATTGTATATCTGTTTAGAAATATCTGTTTTGGAACATCGGTGGAGAATAGCCATGATTGTTGTAGAATTGCATGGGGATTAGGTGAATTGAAATTAATCTCTTATTGATTGTCATTGAATATGACTGTGTTTAATACATTGTATATGTATGATGTTTGGGAGGAGAAAATGGATATACTCCATGTTTGGGAGGAGAAAGGGGATGGACTTCATTGAATTAAGTTGGCCTGTGCGTCTAGGGTGAAAGTCCCGAAAACATTATGTATACATGGGTGTCGATTCCCGCGGACGAAATTTCTGTAAAATGAAAAATTGAAGTGTTTGCGTGTAATGGTTGTGTGGTAAGAAAGCTACTGAGTTGTAATTTCTGTTGGGTTGTTTGGATAACAATGGGTATGACTCATGAATTAAGAAGATATGAAATGACATGAAATGAATTGATATAGAATGGATTGGGATATCATACTTGACATAACACGGATTTGGGGAGAAGAGTTGTAAATGATTTTATCTTTGAGCATTAACTATGTGCATCATGTTTATAACCTTGTTAAAGTTTATATATTGTGTTAGATTGTTTCTACTGGGTTTTGGCTCACTCTATTGGGAAAAACCTTTTTCAGGTGCCGGTGATATGCCTTCGCCAAGGCAATAGCTTGGAGGGATTGGGAGCAAGAGCTTTTATTTTGTTATATTTATTTTGTATAGCTAAGGGTTTTAAATTGTGTTGAGCTAGGCTCACTTTTGTTGTAACCAAGAACTATCTTGGAAAGATGTAAGCCTGTAGGGCATTTGTTTCGTTCATCATTTAATTTGGTGCCACATGCTATAGATTCAGGGTAGAGCTTATGAATATGTAATGTGTGTGCCCCTTTTTAAATTGACTCTAATTAATGGAAACCTAATACTCTGCTTATGCTTTTTGTATTAGTCTTTACTGTTGACGTAGTGTATTATTTTCGGGGTGTCACATAGTCTGAACAAGCCTTTTAAAACAGGGCTTACGCCCTGCGGTCCATGGCCCCAAGGTATACGTTTGCTGGCTAGGGGATTCAAACCGGAGACCTGGGAGGGTGTCCGTGAATGTTAGTTTCAAGATTACTTGATTTTGGAACCTACTTCATATTCGTTCCTAATAAATTTTTCTTGTAAGGACAAAATGAAAATGAGTGACCATTCCTATTATAATAATGACACAATATTGGGATTACTAAATGATGATACTTTAACAAAGAAATTTTTATAAAAAATTTGTTTCTTGTGGGGTTTGAACCCAATATATACCCACTTTGTCAAAAACACATTTTTGGTTTTCAAGTAATTTATTTAAATTTTCTTTCCCTTGTGTGAATTTAAAAATTATGTTGTTTAAATCTTCTATATTTTCTTTTAAAGAATTATTTTCAATTTTCAAATCATTTCATGAATTTTTTAAAGAATAATTTTCCTTTTTCAAACTTTCATTTTCATTGACAAGCAAAATATTTGATTTTTTAAGAGTAGAATTTTTTGAAATTATCTTTTGAAAATCTTCATGAAATTCCTCAACAACATGTAGTAATTCTTCACAGGAAAGAGAGTTTTCGGTTACCTCATTATCTTCAATTCCTATAAAACAAAGATTTGCCACTTCCGAGTTGCTAGCTTCACTATCCAAACTACTGTAATCCCTTTCTTGCCATGCTGCTATCATAGCTCTCCTTTTTCTTTTCTTCTTATTCTTTAGATTAGGACATTCGGGTTTGATATGTTCTGGTTTCTTGTATTCATAACAAATTATTGGATCATCTTTTTCTTCATCTTTGTTGAATACCTTTTTGTGAAATCTTCTTTTAAATTGCTTATCTCTTTCGGTAATTTTTCGAATTTCCTTCTTGTGACTACAACAATGTCATCTTCATCACTTAAGTTGTCACTTTCTTCATCACTTGATAATTCATCACACTTGGCTTTCTTTTCAAATGAAGTTTTGAAAGCAATGCATTTCTTTTTCTTGCAATTGTCATCATCGTTGGTCTTTATAAAAATTTCATGAGTCATTAATAACCCAAGAAGTTCATATAAACCGAGTGTGTTGAGATCCTTGGCTTCCTGGGTTGCTGTCACTTTCGGTTTCCAATTCTTTGGTAAACACTTGATAATTTTCCTTACCATTTCATTGTTAGTATAAATTATATCAAGATTTTTCAAGGAATTTGTAATATCAGTAAATTTGGTAAACATTTTGGAAATAGATTTATCATATTTTATTTTGAACAATTCATAATTATGAACAAGCATACTGATACGTAACTCCTTAACTTGATTTGTGCTTTCATGCGTGACTTCTAATTTATTCCAAATTTCTTTAGTAGTGTCACATGCAGAAATTCTATTAAATTTATTTGGATCAAGTGCATAATATAATTTCAAAAAAATAGTGTGTAGACAAAATAATTTTAAAATAATGGAAGTACATATGGTTCAAGTATAAATTTATACAATAAAAACTTATACTGCCATCATTTTAAAATTATTTTTTCTATCCTTCATTTTTTTGAAATTCCTCCTACTTTTTAAATGCCTCGAAATTAATAACAATTAGGTTATTAACATTTTCTAATTCATGGTTAAAGTTTATGTAGGGCTTGTGTTTATATTTATATTTCTTTGTTTATATTTATACACATTTTTACACATTGTAAAAAAAAAAAAAAAAAAAAAATCTTGTTTGGCTTCTGTTTTCATTTTTGAAAAGTTATGAACAGTTTACAAACTTTAATGAATTTTGTAAATTTTTTTTTGGTAATTTCACAATATTAAAAATAATAATCAAAATATTTGTATTTCAACAAATAAAAGAATAGAGCAACAATAATCAATATAAAAGTAAAAGAGATAGGGAAAGAAAAAATCAAACGCAGTGATTTATAGGGGTTCGGCACGTCGGGCCTACGTTCATTCCCCAAGTATCATCCTCAAGAATTTCTCCACTATTCTTCAAATAGTAATTTACATCACTACACTGCTGGAAATGAGGGTTTTAGCGGCATTTAAAAAACGGCGCTATGGGTCCCAAAAACGCCATCTAAACCTTTTGTGACGTTTTGCACCAAGCGGCAAAGATGCGGCCGTCGTTTTAACTTTGTGACGCTTTAGAAACATCGCTATATTACTATAGGCGGCGTTTTATAAAAACGCCTCTAAAAGTTCTACTATGACATCACCAAACTATTTAGCGACGTTTTTAAAACGCCGTCGTATCTCTTTTTAAAAAATCTAACCGTTGATATAATATTTAGCAACATTTTTAGAAACGCCGTGATAGCCCCTTTTTTTTAAAAAAAAAATTTGTGCTAATTTTGTGTGATTGAACTAAAAAAACTAAAAAATAACACTAACATGAAATAATAACTCTCATTCAAATATCAAATACAACATTAGTTCACTTTCCCATTCAATTTAATATCCAATCACCATTAATCACAAAATAACATATTCACAAATCATGTTTTAACAAAGACATTAACAGAGAAAGAAGTGTTTAACTCAAATTGATTCAAATTGATGAGAGAGTTCACTGTTAGTCTTCATTGGTCTATATTCCTGCATCAGAACATAAATTATAATCAGATTCACCAAAATAAACATAAATTGAGGAATTTGTGAACTTAATTTTCTTAATCACTTGATTGCATTTATTTATTTTTAATTGTTTAATTATTTTGGTAGAGGTGGTCAGAGTTTTGCTCCAAATCTCTGATTTAAGTTACAACTTTACTCCTGCAATAGTATTTAAACAAAAACTAGGGCTAAATTTTTTGTTTTCGTCCAGAATTGAAAAGAAGCTTTAAAAACAATTTAGATTTTAACAGAAGGCTCTGTTTAAGGGATTTATTACATTTCTTTATTTGTTATTTTTCCAAAAAAGACTAAAGCCCATCAATATAAACTTTAAGCCTATTGTTGGCAACTGTAATTGAGCTCTATATTCCCTTTCTTAATTGGAATCCCAATTTTGTGCATTAACAAACAAAAGTTCATATGCCAGAATCCTCTCCTTAAAGAGGACCTACAAAAATTTTGTTGTGTTATAGAAATTAGGCTATCAAATCCCAAGGATTTTAACAACAGCAAATTATTTTCACAAGCCCATCAACATAAACTATAAGCCTACTGTTGGCAAGTCACCAACCAAAAAATGAAGGGGAAAACACTGACCAGCCCACATACCCTTCTCTCAAAATGCAATATTTATCACAATATCTAGTAACATAACTAAAATGGCGATGACTCAAAGGAGAAGAAAAGGCAAAAGTGAACCTGCAAGAGAGTCCAAGCATGATGCAGTAACAGGGCAACCTTCCATGTTCAATAGAGAGAGCTTGTGCAAACCTGCAATGCACGCAGAATAAGAGAGACTATTATTACAAAGAATTGCAACACTTGTTTGCTTTTCTTGTTGATAAATGAAAAGTGCTTTAATACACTATTGTAGAGAAAAACTATTCAGAAAACTATTCATGGAAATCACATCTGCTCTGCAACATATTCGAAGATAAAAAAACTCACTCACTTAGAATGACCAAGGCAAAAGCTCTGTATCTCATGAGCTCCATCTAAAGTCTTCTTTGGAAACAGGGTAACCTGTCACAAAATAACATTGTTGAAAACAAATTGCAATGGAATTTAATATTTAATAATTTATTTGTTTCAATGGGTAAGAATCGTCAATTACACGAATTTTAAAATCCCAATCAGCACTAATAATGAATCGTCCATCCGGTGAGAATTCCTGCAAGAACATAAAATTGTTTAGAAAAAGCCCAGCTTACAAGTAAAGGTCATTCATGCATCCACACAAATGTAGCCCTAATTTCAAAGACTTTTATGTAATAACTCATAAGAATTTAACAATGTGTATAGGAGTAGAGAAAGAATACATATATATATATATATATATATATATATATACCTTAAAAAAATTGGAAGGAAAATTTGTAGAAAAAAGATAATGATAAAATCTATTATGTCCAATTTATTCCTGTTATTCATGGGAAAATGGAGGGAATAACCAATGATTCACCAAAAATAAAAACTAAAAAATAAAACTTAGCAGAAATGTCTAGGACAATAAACTTGGGTCTGGCCAATTCACAATCAATTTATATTCACCTCATCTATTTAACTTATGCTGCTATAGAATAGTTCTGAATTGAGGTTCTAATTTGAATGATCATAGAGATAACTTTCCAGCATCATGTATAAAGCTATTTTATATATTTGAAACTTGAACCAAATTCCTATACAACAAAAGGATTATAAGTATCAATTCAAAACAAAGTCATATATTGGTAAAAGATTTCCTTTCTCGTGTTATGCAGTTGTAGGAAACCCATAATTATATTTAATCTGAATTGGGTTCAAGGAGGCAAAAGCATCGTTACCTCTACTAACAGTGTCAACTTTTTGTAGTCTGCAATGAAGAAAATTGAGGTTCAGGATTGATTCTTTTGGATGCAAATATCATATCATATTCAGATTCATATGAGAGAGAGAGAGAGAGAGAGAGAGAGAGAGAGAGAAAACAACCGATAACAGAAGTGACACAATGTGTACATGCATAAAACTCCCTACCCACACATCAAAATTTGTATATTATTGTCTTGATTTTGAGTTCATGAAGTGTAAATAAATATTTTGAAAGCACATTGGTAAGGGCATTCAATTTCAAAATAAAGGCCAAATTGATTACATGGTGAGTTCCTTAATAATTGTAGTCACACAGCAGGATAGACAATTTTTTCAAAAATATCCTTCTTGTGTAATATTCTAGAAAGGAAGGTTTTTCAATTGACGGCCAACAATACCTGGGAAATGGCATATTATTGGGAAATTGTTGCCCCATGAATGCCCTTGAAACCATAGAATTGGACATGACAAAAATATAGAAGAAAATTTCAAGTGAATGGAAACAAAAACAGAAGCTGATGGTGTGATTTTACCAGGAGATGGAGACATTCCCGAAGAAGGTATCTATGAAGGTGGTATAGATCCATAAGATGAAGCCTGAGGCTGCATCAAATGGGAGGAGTGGGTATCTGCAGTTTGCAATAAGGCTGTAGGAGCTGACAAATTTGGCAGTGCTCCTTTCACAGGCAACATAGAAGGCAACTACATCACAGGAAAACACAATTTTTTGAGATTAAAAAATGATAATAATAAATAAATAAATTTGGCAATTTATTGTCTAGCTCAGCATATCTCTCACACTTTTCTAAAGGTTTGTGCATGTCTAGTTTTCATCATCCACCTAATTGTGCTTGTTCAACATATTGAGGAGTTTAGAAAGCAACAGGAACAAATATACAACCTGTTCTGGATAAAATCAACTGGAACAAAAATACAACCTGTTCTGGATAAGTTAAGACATGCACACTATAGGCTTTTAATATAAGTTAGTATTCTACAAACACTGAAATTATCAGCTCAGCCACATGCTTGCAACTGTGCACCTAATTACTATGTAAGCCTGAATTTATCAGGACTTCCATTGATATCATGCAAAATTTCAGCATGCATCACACACAGCTTAATATGACTGAGAAAAGTGTAGGAAAGGAGTAAATATAAGGGCACAGATCAACACTTACTGCACTCCACTACAGTTGGTGCAAACAAAGGTCCAGAAAGTAGTGCACACATATTGTGGCCCCTGATTGAAGAACACATGTCAGCCATAGTATTGAACCAAACAAAGGACTTTCAGAATTATGAATCGCCTTCGATGTGGAACTATAATTTCATTTGTTGAACCACAGAGGAACCAAAAATGAACTTATAGAATTAGAGCTGTAGCTGTTCATCTGCAAGTGGCACAGAAAGGTGAGGTGACAATTCTAGTATAGAACCAGAGAATGAGGTCTAGCATTGACTTTTGTATTAAATATTATGGAATCTCACAAAAATGAAAAGCTGCTGCACAGTATAAGACTGGAAGGTTTAGAGTTCAGATTGTATACTACCTGGAACCAATTGGGGTTCTCCGGGCTTTGCTAAGCAGCAAGAACTTCAACAAAACCTTCATTCTTGTAGCCACCCATGTTACTTGCGCATGCTTGTGAAAGGTGACGATTTAGAGATGCAGAATTGAATTATGTAAGAACATAGATCTTTGATATGTTGCTGTTCAGGCAATTACTGACCGGAATGTCAATCAGGTGATAATTTGCTCCTAAAGGAACAGCTGGTTTTCTCTTCTTTGTAAGAGGATAAAGGCGAGTCCCAGCTCCACCTCCAAGTATAATTCCCAGAACACTCTGTGAAGAATACAAAACCACTTAATCATTCCCTTCCTCGAATCAACTCATTATAAAAATTAAAGTTTCTAAATACCCATAAGCATAAAATTCCACCATACAAGTTTAAAAAAGAAAGAGCAGAGCAACAAAACCCACATTGTCCAAGCATTTTTTACTAGGACATGAGGAACCCAAAGTCATGGATCCAATGCTACACATATTTCAGCTGATTTTACATAAACATCCAACAATGTAGTCCTCTGCATCACAATGATTGACCATGAAATTTGAAGATTTTAAGGTCCATAGTGAGGTTACCTTATTTTATTTTGAGCAAATGTGCCAAATTAGTGCAAAATTCCCAAAAATAAATGCATTCAGTAACCAATGAAAATCAAAACAAATTTAATGGTCCTTAAGAGCAACTCCAACCATACTCTTCATTTTTTACTAGTTAAAATACAAAAAAAGTAATCTTTATTTTGTCTAATCCTTTTTTTTTTATCTACATACTTTATTTTACCGATTTACACCCACAAACTATTTAAAGAAACCTCCCAAAGCTTTTAAAATGTAGCTAGCCTTAAAAGGATTATGTTAAAATAGCTATTGTAATAACTAGTCTTAAAGAATTTTGTTAAAATAGTTATTGTAATAACTAACCGTTTGGATGACTAAAATATGATAATATTAGTATAATATTCTACAAGCAGAGTTTCATCCCATCCTCGTATGCCTTTTCTTATGCTTTCTTAGCAAGTAAACGGAGCACAGAAAACAGCAAAAGCATCAAGCAAAGCACCAAGTTCTAAATTCTAATCTAACCATATTGACATTTTACAGTGTGATCTGTAAGAATATACTGTTCCATTCACTAAAAAAATTTAGTAATAAAATGATTAATCTAAAAGAGAATGTAGTTCATTCCAAAAGAGAAATAGTATCCTGGATCTATAACTAGTGACTACACAGTCAAATCAGTCAAATCTTACATTTTTGGGAATTTGGTTGCAAGTAGGCTGGCCCTACTTGGATAGAATGATGATGCTGGCCATCATATCTAACTAGCTGAGTCCTGTTTCCGATATGTCCAATAATCTGTACACAGAAAAAGAAATATCCAGTAAGAAACATTTGCACTTGATACACTCTTCTGACGGGTATTTTAGTATCCAATCAAAGAGAACAAGTTGGAGGACAAAAGGCCCCCTTGTTTAGACTTAGGTATAGTATCAAAAATAAATAAATAAATAAATAACAGATAATACTAAGAAAGCATTAAACAAATGAAATTGCCATACCCTGATGAAATTTTTTATGGGTCACAGATACAATTTTTTTTTTTTTTTTTGATTAACAATAAAGAACCCTTTATTGATGATGGAAAACCTTACAGAAAGGAAGAAAACATCAACAAAAAGAGAGGGATGATGCAAGCCATCACATGGAAGCACCAAACCAAGACCCTGTTGGTGAGAAACCAACAGAGATAGCAACCTAGACAATAGAATAACCAACAGAGGCAGCAATACAGCATATACAAATCAAAATAGAGGCATGCAACCTAATCCAAATACAAACAAATCAAATAGAGGCATGCAACCTAGTGCTAGCAGAGGCCAAAAGCAGCAGCAGATACACAGCAGATTAACATGACATACAGAGTAGCAGACCAGCCACACAGCAGCAGAAAAATAGATTAACAGATACTGATACATAACGAAATTTTTTTATGGGTCACAGATACTAAATACTTACTTCGGCATACCCTGATGAAATCAAATTGGTCCAAATTTTTTAGAAAGCTTGCCATTTCAAATTTTGCTTCATTTTTAAAGTCAAAAAAAATTATAGAAAGATACAGGAAGGAGAAAGAATAATTACCTCTGAAATTATTCAATAAAACATTTGATCGGGCTAGACGTTGGGTTGTTGTTGAACAATGCGAGACCATACCCAAATTGCCCCTAATCATGATCACTTAATTACTCAATTTTATAGCTATTCTATATCAACTTACTGCTGCTTCACTAGTCGTCTAACAGAGTTGAGACTAGCAGATCCTGGAGAAAAACAACTCTTTCGGCAGCCTGTCTCTTTCTTTTTTCCCGCTTTTCATAACTCAATGATGGATCAAAATTGCACAGTAAAGAGAGAGAGATGTTCAAATTAGGACTTAAAAAGAGCAATGTTTACATCAGCTTAGGTGAATCAAATATGAGAAAATAGGTATTTCAACAAGTAGAAAATTCAATCTCTCGAGAACTTATTGAGCAGTATGCGTCTGTAGGTGCATCACAGCAACGGTTCTACCTAACCTTGCTTGGAGAAGATACATTTAAGAAGCAGAATGTCTAACATGATTTAAAGGCACTAAAAAAACATCCAGAACAAGTGAAGTTTTTGAGTAAGAACGATACATTTTCCTAAAAATAAAAATGCCCAAGGCTAGACTAGGGAGACTGCCAATAGCCTATAAACAAAGCCACATGTTTCCTAAAACTTGTAAAAGCCACACGCAAATTATCTTTGGAACATTAGCTGAGAGGATAGGCCTATTAATCTGTAATTTGGTGATTCCAATTTCTCCTAAAAAATTATCGAAACCCTATATTTAGCTTAAAATTTAAATAACAAACCATATTTGGATAGCAATGAAGGTCGTCATGAATCACAATCTACCAGTTTCATTTTTTTTGTTCACTTAAAACAAAAAATATGTTATCGTTTATTTTTGCGAAAGGCAATAACAAATAGCATGTTTGGTACATATGTTTTAAAAAAAAAAAAAAACATGTTTGGTGATTGTGGGAGAGTGGCCAGAAAGTGTTTTCTAGAGGGGAAGGGGAGAATAGGTAGCAGGGGTTGCAGGAGGGCAAGGGGGAGGGAATGAGAACTTTTTTTTTCAATCATTTTCTGACAAAAAAATTTGAAAATTGTTCCATTACCCCACAAAATGATAGAGTGCTTAACAATTGAAGGTTCTCTCTTATCATAGAAAATGATATAATCTACTACCTTGCTTTCCATATAGGCGATGATGTCACACTCTTAACGGAACTGTCATCAGCACTGGATAACACGGATTTCAAAATGTCTTTTGATTTAGATGAAGGGAAATTCAAAATAAGAGAGGAAATGAATGGATCATTAACTGCATTAGATGAATTTGCATTGCTTGATCGATATCCACTACCTCCTAAAAGAACCTGCAGATGCGCCTCACGAAGATCCCTTCCCAAGAGAGAAAGTGCCTGACTGTTGGGAATCGCAACTCTACGTAATCTGCGACGTCTCTGCATGTAATATTCAGTTAAAGAAAACCTCAATTGCTACCGAACATGGTTCTAAGGTTAACCATACAACAATGATGAATGTTGTTTAATGCTAAGGAGACAATAAATACACAATAAAACATTTCGAAGGATATCTTGAATAAATGTCCATGTTGCAGAGTGATATGACTTAACATGTTGCTCACAACTTTTATGGAGCATATGGGACAAACCTACATGGAAACAGTGAAAGCAGTGTGAGTTTCTTGTGACCAGATATTGATTGAAAAACACTATCATCAATCACTCCTAGCGGTAAGAATTATAAATAAAATAAACCTCCAAGAACAATCAAGATGTTCACTTCTGTCTAGTTTCATTTTTATATTTTTCGGAGGGATTAATGAACAATATACAGCATGGACCATCTCAATCAATATTTCACTTTCACACATCAGGAAGAAAAGCAGGACTATTTAAATTTGTCTACAAAATATATGAAGTTTTCTCTGGGGCTTTTAAGAGACCAAGTGCCTCAAACATTTTCATTCACATGCCTGTGCTTACTAGTTTTTTTAGAAGATGATATGATTGCAAGCATCAAAAGGATAAAAGTAAACTCGGGAAGCCAGAAGGGAAGAACCAGGTTAAGTTGAGAATTGTTGCCGTTCAAAGATGTGGGAAGATAACACATACCACTAATAAGAGATGGCAGCAGGTTTCACCATCAGCGTGTTCAAGGAGTATGAACTGAGACCAAATTTTCAAAACACTGATTCAACATTTTTCAAAACACTGATCCAAGACAGAGATAAATCACAAACAAAAAAACTAACCTCTGATTGAACAAGACGAAGATTCCCAAATCCATGGAGCTGTGCTCAAAATTGAACTTCGAAATCACAATCTCGAGATGAATCGCTGACCTGTAGAAGAATCGAAGAAGAATCACTGGGTAAAAGAGTGAAGAAGAATTGAGAGCCCTAAGGGCTTAAGACCTATATAGAGCCCTAAACAAAAGTATTCACTAAGCAAAACATTTATCCAAAACAGAGATAAATCACAAACAGAACAACTAACCTCTGATCGAAGAAGACGAAGAGTTCCAAATCCATGGAGATAAATCACAGAGCTGTGCTCAAAATTGAACCTCGAAATCGCAATCCCGAGATGAATCACCGAACTGAAGAAGAATCAAAGAAGAATCACTGAGTAAGAGACTGAAGAAGAATCGATCCTCTGAGAGGGAGATTTGGAGAAACAGATTCGATTCTCTGCGAGAGAGAAAGAGAGAGAGCAAGAGAGTGAGTGAGATTGGATTCAATCGTCTAGACGTCGGTGCTCAAAATAGGGTTTTCAAAATAAAGGTTTGGAGAGACAGAAGTGGGTGTGAAGAGAGACCGGATTTGAAGGCGCTTTTCAAACGTCTTCCACTCACAAAATGGTACTGTTTTAATTTATAACAAATGTGACGTTTAAAAAATGCCGTTAATTGTTAGAAAAAGTGATGTTTATTTAAACGCCATTAAATAAACGCCGTTAAATCCCTAATTCCTGTAGTGCTAGCTTCATTGGTACTAGTGAACCTTTACAACAAGTAACCAATTCTTATCAATCCGACTAGTTTAGAATCTGGTGCCTTGTCACATCTAACCAAATGATTTTATCTCGAAAAATCACTCACAATAACTCTCTTTTTACAAGAATCATATGAATATGGGATAGAATACCATTTACAATTTTGCTCAAACTCTCAACAAATTTTCTCACTAAAAATATAACTCAATGAAGCACAATACAATATTTGACAATATCACAAAATTTTCTCTTTTTCACTTCTTATTTTTCTCCAACCAAAACACTTCGATATATACCAAAAAATATATCCATTGGAGAGAGACACTCCTCTTCTTGACTCATCACGTTGCGTTGCTCGGATCACATGCCAATTTTCCTTTTTAAATTTTGTAGCGGAGGATGGAAGAATATAGCCAAAGGTCACTTTTGATAAATAGGAAAAACAAAAATTTCAAAACATTCATCGTAAAATCAAATGATGCACAATAACTGCATAGTAACTTTTATATTAAAATATTTAACTACATAGTAACATCTCTATTAAAATATTTGTGTGCATAGTATAATCTTTAAATAACATTTATAGCAAATACATCATACAACATATATTTTAATAGATAATGTTTTGTGTCAAAGAATATAAAATATGTATATTAAAAAATCACAATTTATCCCATAATATTTTAGATATCATCAAAATCAAATCATGCAACATATATTTTAATAGATAATATTTTGTGTTAAAGAATATAAAATATGTATATTAAAAAATCACAATTTATCCCATAATATTTTAGATATCATCAAAATCAAACCATAGGATTAACACAATTTTTGTTTAATTTTAAATTTTTTTTCTTCTTTCTCACACTTTTTTCGAGTATCACCTATTCTTATCACTACTGGCTACCATTGTCAATGACCTTCTTTGCCGACCACTTCCGGCCACTACCTCCTTCAACTGCCAACCACTTTCGGCCACCATTTCCTTCAACTGCCAACCACTTGCCATCGCCACTGATCACCTCGACCACTGGCGATAACTACCTTTGGCCACCACCTTTTCTTGAAAACCACCTTCAACTACTATCTCTGGCGGCCGATCAGCCACCATCTCCATCCATTGACAATGACTTTCAGCCATCACTTCCTATGGCCAGCAACTACTTTTGGCCATTGCCAATTGCCAATCACCAATGGAAACTACCTTTGGTTACTACCTCTCGCTACCAACAACTGCCTCTGTCCACTATCTTCAACTGTTGACCAACACCTCTTGCTGTCCCAATTTGTACTTATTTTCAAAATAAAATTTTAAAATACTCATGTACCAAACCTATTTTTATTTATTTATTTCATCCCAATAAATATAAATATAAAAAAGTGATCAATATATTGCCAAACTGCACGTTAACTTAGGGTTCTTGAAAACTGATTCAATCACTAAGTTCTATCCTACCTCATTTTACTTGATAGTTCACAAGAAAATCAACATCGAGTTGATTTGAATTTTCTTTTAAATGAAAAACTCTCCTTTGGTATTTCTCTATTTTCATTTTATTTTCAAGTGCTAATTTTCTCTTGAATAACCAAATTCTCTCTCTCTATATATATATATATTGTTTCATATTATTGCTTCTAAGAGGGATGTAATAATTTAAAGTTTAGGCCATGTTTGGTTTGATTTTTAGAAACTTGTCGCATAACTTTTTTTTCTAAAAAATTCAAAATTAATTCAGTGAAAGAAATAAAAAATAAAAATAAAAAATACTTATCATTTTTATATAGTTTTATCTTACGGGAAGCCATTTTTAAAAAATTTAAAATTATATTTTTTATATTTCATATAGCGATCTCGGGTTTACCCTTGTTGTATAGTGATCCGGACATGTGTCCGTGGATGTTGGTAGTTGTTTATTATCTTGTTTGCATCCTTTCTTACTTTGTATTTGAGTTATAGGATGTGTTGAGCGGGTTTGTTACAGGTTGGTTGAGTTTAGAAACCAAAACTAGTTGCCCAGATTTTTGGCCTGTACGCTCGAGCGGAGGTGTTGGCGCTCGAGCGTAGATTACATCCATCCAGTATCTTGTTGTGCAGTGTTGTGAGCTCGAGCGTAGGGATTGGGAGCTCGAGCGGAGGCCTGGTTCTGCAAAAGTGCTGGGCGAGTGCAATACCCAAAAGCACCCAACCATTT